GTGTGTGGCCAAAATCCTGAGAGGAGAATGAAGGAGAAGGGCTTATGGCATGGCCATTCCCCCCAGGGGGTGATTTCTCATGTTGTGTCTCTCCAGTGAGCACACACTTCCTATAGCAAAAATCTCTTAAAAAAAAAAAAAAAAGACAGGCATGTTTGCATGAGTTCCCCAAATCTCAACAGAGAAATGGAGAAGAGATTGCAATGTTACCATACCTCACTGGAGGGTATTTTCTCCCTCTCCCTCTCTGTTTATCTTTCTGTTATGTGTACATGCCCTGTGGTCAAAAAAAAAAAGGTATTGCTTGAAGAATATTTATTGATATGGTATATGCTCAAGAAGTTAACTGAAAAGAGCATTATATAAAATTTGATGTACAAAATGATTCCAATTAAGTTAAAACTGTTTTCTAGGCTGATACTGAAGTCTATGTGGAAGTACAAATGTTCAAGAACAGCAAAAATAAGCAAAATAAATTACCAGATATTGAAACAGCAATTTTAATTATGTATTATATAATTAGAAGGGTTAATTAATAGACCAGAATAGTATTTAGAAACAAAAACTATGAATTTTGCATGTGATAAAAAATGTACTAAAGGGACCAGCAGACGGCATAGCAGTTACATTACTGGACACCCACATGGCCAACCACGGTTTGAATCCTGGCCCTGGGGGCTTGAGAATCACCCTGCGCGCCTGCACATGCATGTGTACACCCAAGAGGAGAATGGAGGAGTAGGGATTGCAGTGTGACCATCCCCCCCGGGGGATGATTTCTCATTTTCCCTCTCACTGTCTCTCTCTCTAGCGAGCATACATGCCCTAAGGCCAAAACCTCTAAAAAATATTAAAATAGATTTTTTTTAAAGTATTCAAAATTAGGAAAAGGAAGAACTATTTTATAAATGAGGTGATAATGGCTAACCATTGGGAAAAAAATATATTAGCTCTCCTTACTGAAAGCTAAATTCCAGATGGAAAGCTAAACGTGAGAGAGTTCTTAGGCGTCATTAAGAAAAAGTTAAGCTATTTCGTGGCAAAATGGGTAAGGTTATAAACAAGCAGCACAAAAAATAAAATCACCAAAAAATTATGTAAAGATGCTTGACCTTACTACCAAAGAAATGCAAATTAAAGTACAAATTAATAATGCAGTACCATTTTTATGCCTTATATTCAAAAATATTAAAAGACTAGGGTTATCCAATGTTAATGTAGATGTGGGGAGATCATTGGTGGATATTAAAATAGTAGAGTGCTTTAAGAGAGGAATTTAGCATTGTCAAATTTGTAATTATATCTTTTTTTTTTTTTTTAAGGTTTTGGTCAAAGGGTGTGTGACAGAGAGACAGAGAGAGGGAAGGTGAGAAAATACTCTCTGAGGAGACAGCCACACCATAATTCCTTCTCCATTCTCCCAGGATTTGGGGCACACATACACACATGCCCAGTATGATTTTCAAGCCACCAGGTCCAAGACTTGAACCATACTCAGCCACGTGGGAGTTCCAGTGCCCTAACCACCATATCACCTGTTGGCCCCAATTGTAACCATTTTTTAGGTAGAGTACAATTTATTTTGTTTAGGAAAGTTATTCTAGATGTTTATTCTGATAAAGATACACACTTTTAAAAAATATAAATTCCTATTTGCTGCCTACAGGATTTGACAAAACTCAAGCAGAAACAATTGTATCTGCATTAGCCACCTTATCAAATGTCAGCCTGGATACAATCTATAAAGAAATGGTCACTCAAGCTCAGCAGGTAATACATTTATTTTGATCACTTCTGACAGCTTCATAATAGTCTTTCTTATAACTGCATCTGTCTATGCATCTGACTTGCAAACATACCTGTAACTTTGTTGTTCTCTCTAAAGGGACCACAAAAAGAAAGAGAGAGAGAATAGAAAAAGAAAAGCCTTTAGTAAAGCCAGTATCTAGAACAGAATGAAAAGTGAGAATAGTCATAGCAAGATTATGGTTACACAAAGAATGGAATTTTGACAAATCCTACATCTTTTTAAAATACTAGGTCATTGAAAAAGTCATGACGCCTTTTTGCATAGAAAAATGACTTTTCTAACGACCCAGTAATTATATTGTTTGAATCCTGAGAAATGTTGGTAGGTCATTTCTCTCTCTCGAAGACCTAGCAAGTAGAAGAGCTAACCTTTCTTTATAATAAATACATTTTACTTTAGTCATATGTATCTTTTGGTTAATTTTCACAGATTTAGAAAGTTAGAAGGGACTTAGAAGTCTGAGATAGGCTTCATAAGAGGTTAATTTAACTGAATATACAATCCTTAAACTCAAATAATGCCATTTACTAAGAACTTGAGATATAAGAGGCACAGGGCTGGTTATTATATAGATTTTTTTTTAAGGGATTTTTACTTTAGGGCACATGTGCTTGCCAGAGAGACAGACAGGAAGCATCCCTCCATTCTCATCTTGGGATTTTAGGCACACACGCACACACACCCAGCATGATTTTTTTAAGCCACTGGGTCCAGGACTCAAGCTGCAGTCGACTACATGAGAGTGTAGCAACACAATCACTTTGCCATGTGCTGGTCCCCATATAGTGCATTTTTTCAGCCTCAGAAAGTAGATATTCTATTATGTCACCAAAGACAGGCTCAGAGAGGTTGAGTAATTTCTAAGTTTTCATTGTGGTGCTATGGACAAAAATCAGTAATTTTATGTAAAGGTGGAAAAGCTAAGCTTAATTGAGGAATAATTCATGCTCTGTCAATTATGGAGTAATTAACTATGTTTAATAATCTGTTTTCTTTCTCTGGTTATAGTTTTTAAACTTTAGTGTTTCAAATTTAGGCACCTCTAATAAATACTTTACAGTACAGACAGAAAAAATTAGCATTTCTTAACATAAAATTAGAATCTTCATAAAATTTCATTAGCGTCAATAGAAGATTGAAAGCTTTCCAAAGATATTCACTGTAATTTCTAATTAATTCAACTTTTAGAATTAAAACAGTGAGCCCATAAATTTAACTTACCTATAAATGTATATATGCATTGTTTTAGCTTAATTTATTCAGGATCATAGCAGACTATTAAATTCACCAAGGAAAAAGTCAAGCACTGAATTAATTTCCCCAAAGCTCTGAGCCACCCTAAAAGAGTTACATGGAGCTACTGACACTTTTAATAAAGTAAGTTACTCTTATTAAACATTTAAATTCACTTGTAATATAAGCAAGTAGTTAAAACTAATTTGAAAACTATGCATGACACCAGGACCATTTAATCCTTCATACATAATGTAGACTGGGTATTTAACTTTGGACTTTTTAATTACTGTGGTGTTAAAATCCTGTTCCATCCTTGAGCTTAACCCCTTGCTGACCTCACCTTAGGATAGAAGAAGGCACACAAACTATATGAAAGATGGGGGCTGAGGTGCACGTCGTCAGGCAAAGATGTTGCATACTTAATCACTTCAGCAAGGACCATACCAAGTCAGGTCTGCTCAATCTAAGAATTTGACTATATTGTGAATCTGCTCATAATGAGAACTGTATTTATATTCCCTGATGCTTCTACAACAGTTACAGTGATCATATTTTTTTCTGTTTTTATTTAATTACAAGAGGACACATGCACTAGCCAGAGACAGATAGATAAAGGAGAAGAAGAGAAAGCACTCCCTAATGGAGCCTGCCGCAATCCCTTCTCCATTTCTCCATCCTGTCAAGATTTGGGTCATATATGCACAGCTTTTTCAAACTGCCAGGGCCAGGATTCAAACTGGTTAGCCAGGTGAGATCAGGGTCGGTCCTTTAGCCACTGGAACCTACCTGGTCACACTTTTAATAGGTCTGACTACTTAATAATGGATAACGTTCCTCCTTTTTAAGTTTTTGAAGATGGATAACGAGTGCTGTTTTGTAGGTGTTTTGAGTCTATATTGAAAGTTTAAAAAAAAAAGGCTAGTATGGCCAGTGCAATTCCTTCTATTTAGGTTCAGGCTCCTTAAGAAATCTGGAGTTAAATTTCCAGCTCTTCTCTACAAAGCAGTAGTAATAAAAGTGCATTATATTTACTGAGAAGTTTATAATACTAGGGGAAAACAGGACTGACAGCCTCTAGAGGTCATACCAATATATGACTTCTGAACTAATTCTCATTAATATGTCGAGCAAAACTGAAGACAAGGAATCCCCCCTTCTCAGTAATTATATGAGGGTTAGAGAAGGCATGAGTCAGGGGTGTCTATTGTACACAGTTAAAACACTTTTTAAATATTTTTATAGGATTAATATTTAAGTCAAAAACTTTCTCCACATCAAAACACTGCAATCAGTCCATCCTGCTTCAGTCATTAGATCCCTGTCTCCTAGTAGTCATAACAATAGCAACTAACATTTATTGAGTGCTAACCATGTGCCAAGTAATATCTTTTTTTTTTTTTTTAAAGGTTTTTGCTACAGGGTGCGTGCGCTCGCCAGACAGACAGAGACAGAAAGCGAGAAATCACCACCCAGGGGGGATGGTCACGCCGCAATCCCTTCTCCATTCTCCTCTCGGGATCTTGGGCACGCACGCACACGTGCCCAGCGTGAGTTTTAAGCCACCGGGTCCGGGACGCGAACCATGGTTGACTACATGGGAGTCCAGCGACAGCCATTACGCCAACTGCTGGTCCCCCAAGTACTATCTTAAACATTAATACATACATTATCTCTTGTAATCTTCAAAACAACTCTATATTAAAGTGTAGGTACTATTATTATTTCTATTTTACCAGTACTATGGCCAAAGAAGTTAACTTGCCCAAACTCTCATAGTAAATGGCAGAATTTGGATTCAAACTCAGACAACTTGACTTCAGACCTCACACTTCCAACTCCTCTAAGTGACTGCCATTTGTTTTTGAAGAAGTTTACATTTTAGACCCTTTGAAAACTGAGTCGTTTCTAAGTCATGTGTCTGAAAGTGTTGTATGCTTTGTTCTCCAAAAGTCAAATCACTTTTGAATAATCTTTCTCAGTGGTTATAAACCGTTATATTTTCTTTTAAGGCTACCTTAAATCATGTCTACAAAAATGTTCCTCCCCAACAAAGAAAAGCTTAAAAATCTATCAGGTAAGAGCCACCTTTTCTTTCACATATTCTTTATAGTGCCAAAAAAAAAGATACTCAGGAATTGAAGCAAAACTAATTATGTTGTGCTGAAAAAGGGAAACTATTTTAACCATACACCTATCTATTTTGTTTTAATACTTGTGAGTCTTATCAAGTATCCTGAAATTTTCCAGAGGTAGAAAATTGCTCAAAATCAGTAATAAAAGAAGATAATCCTTTCCATTTAGGTATTTAAAAAATAAAACAAAAAAAGTGTTTTAGGAACTTTTAGGGGCTGAACAAATATTTTACTAAGATTCTAAATATGTCTCTCTCTCTTTCTGGCGAGCGCACATGCCCTATAGCAAAAACCTCTCCAAAAAAAAATATCTAAGTATGGGTCAGCAAGTGGCATGGTGATTGAGGTGCTGGACTCCCACATGGTTGACTACGGTTCAAGTCCCAGACCTGGCAGCTTACTTTCTCACTCTCCCTCTCTTTCTCTCTCTCTCTCTCTCTCTCTCTGGTGAGCACATGTGCCCTATAACAAATTAAAATTCACTAAAAATAATAAATAAAAGTAAATATAAAAAGAAGAACCTAGATATTTGTTACTCTTCCCTGGGAAATAACTTTCTCTTCCTTGCCTCTCCTTTTCCTTTTGAGAGTTCAGAAATGTAAGTTTTATATTTTTCTTAAAAAGCATTGTACCTTTATCATGTTAATAAATTCTTTTCAGTTTCATGAAGACAGTTCTGGAAAGGGATGACATTTCTTAGATCACTAGGTGGTTTCTATTTTGTTTTCTAGGAAATAACAGTACAACAATTAATGGCGCATTTGGACTCCATTAGAAAAGACATGGTCATCCTAGAGAAAAGTGAATTTGCAAATCTGAGAGCAGAGAACGAGGTGATACAAGTTTTACTAATAAAATAACTAATTTCACAAGTACCCTACTTGGTAAATAAGTTAATAAGACAAATAACAATTTTTTGTGACTAGTAAACCATATAAATCATACATCAGCAAGTTTTTAGATAAAAAGTAGTTTATTTAATCATACCCAGATCTTTTTATGTGTAAATCAGTCTGTTGCATACTGAGGAATAAGAGTTGTATTTTAGGCCCAGCCGTGCTGGTGTAGGAAGTAGGGATACTGGCACATGATGCTGGAGGCCATATGGGAGGGCTCTGGGTTCACATCCTGGATCTACCTGAATGTAAGTACACCTATGACCCTGCAGCTACAGAGCTGGGGGAGGATCACAGTGTGAAAGCCCTCTGTGGGTACCTGTGTGTCTGTCTCTCTGTCTCTTTCTCTCAAATGAAATAAACTTTAAAAATTGTATTTTATACATATAAAAGTCACAATAAAAAGGAACATCTTTGGGGCCAGCAGGTGGCATCGTGGTTAAAAGCTGGACTTCCACATGGCTGACCATAGTTCGAGTCCTGGACCTGGTGGCTTGCTTTCTTATTTTCCCTCTCTCTCTCTCTCTCTCTTTGTCTTTCTCTGGTCAGATTCAATAGTAGTAATAATAAATAAAATCTTTAGAAAAAAACTAATTACATGTGATCTTTCTTATGCCTAGAAAATGAAAATTGAACTAAGCCAAGTTAAACAACAACTAATAGTAAGTGAAATTTTTTCCACTTATTAATTTCAGAACAAATATTCTTCACAAGAATTTTTTCTCAACATTTTTATTTTCCTTAAAGAATGAAACAAGTCGAATCCGAGCAGATAATAAACTGGATATCAATTTAGAAAGGAGCAGAGTAACAGATATGGTAATGTGCTTCTAACTGTACTTTCCTGGTGCTTCCTCCTTTTTCTTTTCAGTCTTTTTTTTTAACTCCCTGCTTCATATCCTTTAGTTTACAGATCAAGAAAAGCAACTTATGGAAGCCACCACAGAATTTACCAAAAAGGTAAAGTAGTATGTAAAACTTTTCTTTTTATATGGTTCTTATGCCTTGAATGACTGCTTCTTTGTGTATCGTTTTATAAATCTGAACTTTAAAAAACTAACCTGGGACCAGCAGTTGGCATAATGGCTATGTTGCTGGACTCCCATGTAGTCCACCGAGGTTCGAGTCCCAGACCCAGTGGTTTCAACTCACGCTGGGCCCATGTACATGTGTGCCCAAGATCCCAAGAAGAGAATGGAGGAGAAGGGATTACAGCATGGCCATCCCGCTGGGGAGGGGTGATTTCTCGCTTTCTGTCTCTCTGTCTTTGTCTTTCTGGCAAGTGCACACGCCCTATAGCAAAAATCTCTAAAAACAAAACAAAAGCAAAAAAACTAACCTTTCATAGGCCAGCAAGTGGCATAGTCTTATGGTACTGGCCAGTTACAGTTCAAGTCACAAACCAGTGACTTGAACATCATACTGGGTATGTGTGTGTGCATGCCCAAAATCTTGAGATTGGAGAAGAAGGAATTTTGGCATGACCGTCCCTCTTATGGGGGTGATTTCTCAGTTTTCTTCTCTCTGTCTCTCTCTGGGGAGCACATGTGCCCTATGACAGAAACCTAAAACAGAAAAAATAGCCCTCCAGCCTTGTAGCCTAATGGTTAGGAGAGCTGGATCCTACATGGTTTTTGTATTTCAAATCCCAGCCCCAGCACTTGAGATGTACACTGGGGCACATGTGTGTGCTTATTCCTTAAACCCCAACAAGATGGAGAAGGGATTGTAGTGTGAGCACACCCACTGGGATTATCCCTCTCTCTCTTTTTTTAAAGATTTATTTATTTCATTTATTCATCCATTTATTTTAATTTGAACCAGAGACAGAGAGAGAGAGAGAGAGAGAGAGAAAGAGAGAGAGAGAGAGGGAAAGTGAGAAAGCAAGCCACCAGGTCCAGGACTCAAACTGTGGTGGGCCATGTGGGAGTGTACAGCATCTTAACCACCACACCACCTGCTGGTCCCCACCTCTCTCTCTTTCTGGCAAACACAGAGGCCCTCTGGCCAAAAACAAACAAATAAAAAATAAAAACTAGCCCTATAGAGTCCATAATTTTCTCATAACTATTAAAGTTATCCAGCACTTGAGAAAGAATCATACTTTCTTCATAGTGTGTTTTTTTATTTATTTATTTATTTATTTTTTTTTAGGAGAGGTTTTTGCTATAGGACAAGTGTGCTCAACAGAAGGACAGAGACAGAGAAACAGAAAGCAAGAAATCACCCCCTACAGTGTATGGCCATGCGGTAATCCCTTCCCCTCTATTCTCCTCTCAGGATCTTGGGCACGCATGCACATGCACCCCACGTGAATTGAAGCCACTGGGTCCAGGACTCAAACCGCAGTTGACTACATGGGAGTCCAGCGATTTAGCCATTACACCAACTGCTGGTCCCAGTGTGCTTGTCTTTAACTAAATTATTTTTATCTAGGAAATAATTTTTTAAAAGACAAAGATTTACTATTTGTATTTCACAGTTGGCATTTAGATCAGTGCCTAGGTTCAAATGAATAATTACCTTACATTTTTTTTAATCCTAGTAAATATTTAGTGCTTCTTATGTGCCAAAGTACTATTTTACATGCTTTACTTTTATCTGTTAATTCATTTCATCCTCATATCGGCTTCTGTGAGGTAGGCACTGTTGTTTCCATTTTACCAATTTGGAAAATGAGATACAAAGAGATTCAGGTCACACATAAACGGTAGAACTAGGGTAAGAACCAGATTCTAAACCCCATACTCATAACTGCTGCTTACTTCTCAATAACTATAATGTAATCATAACTTAATCTCTGTGGCCAGCTTCCTAATTCAGCCTTATCCTTTTCTTAAAAGTTAAAAGCCATTTGGTCTGCTCTCTAACTGAAGAGTGCTCTTGTCCATAATTTAATGAAAGAAAAGGTCTCATTTGTCCTTTTTCAAGGGCCCCATTCTCCTACAGCCAGATAAAGAAGATAAAAAAGGAAATCAAAAATTCTCTCACACTAATTTGAGTTTTTGGTACCATCTTAGCTCTCCTACCTCCCTCCTGCCCCCATCTACATGTTACCTGTCAGGTATTTCTACCAGTTCCTTTAACTCTGGTACCTGTTCATATTACAAACCTGGTTGATTTTCTTTTCTTTTGCAGAACAATATATTTAAAGTTTTAGCCATGCTATCATAAGACTTTATCTACAAAAAGTGATAGTTCTGTGACTAAAATTTTTCTTCTTGGTTAATCACCTTATTTATTTAGGAATCAAATGTCTCACTATGAGGTTTCTAAGTAGAATATGCAGAGTATGTAATAATCCTAAGAAATTATTTCCAAGAATCAAAAGGAATGCGATTAGTGTGTTTGTATTGTTTATTTAATCTTTCTTTTAAATCACTATGCTTTTATTGTTTCTTCAACTAAGATCTTAACCTGTAATTAAGGATTTTTTATTCTTTTTTTGGAGAAGTTTTTTGTTGTTGTTGTTGTTTTGCCATAGGGCGTATGCACTCGCCAGATAGAGAGAGACAGAGAGACAGAAAGCGAGAAATCACACCCCAGGGGGAATGGGCACGCCGCAATCCCTTCTCCTCCATTCTCTTCTCAGGATCTTGGGCACGCACACACGACGGGGGTGAGTTTTAAGCCACAAGGGTTCGGGACGCGAACCGTGGTCGACTACATGGGAGTCCAGCGACATAGCCATTATGCTAACTGCTTTACCCCAAGGATTTTTTTAAGTAAATATTTTTGTCTGTAATACATAGAAAATTTAGTTATTTTATTTTTTCTTATCTACTACAGGATACCCAAACAAAAAGTATTATTTCAGAAACCAGTAACAAAATTGACACTGAAATTGCTTCCTTAAAAACACTGATGGAGTCTAACAAACTTGAGACAATTCGTTATCTTGCAGGTAAGGCTGTGTTAGAGAAAACAATTACTGTCATTTCATTTTCAGACCTGCCAGTTTCTACCTCCCAAGGTAACTGTGCGGGCACAGAATTTTAAAAAGAGAAGCTATAACAAGGTTCCTTTGTTGCCTGGTCCCCTGTAATGTGTAAAGAAGGTTCCAGCCCCAGGATATAGTATAAATGACAATGACAACTCTGCAACTTATTAGTAGGAAAAATAAATGGATAGCAAAGAAATATAAAAACACCAATACAAAATGATACAAGGATAAACTGGGTATTCCACAGTGAAAACAATGAAATTTCTTGTTTATGCTCTTCCATAAAAATTGGAGTGGGATCAGAAAGAAAGATTACTAAAGAAGGTATAAGCCATTAAAAAACCCTAACAAGCTGGGGGAGAAAAATAACCTCCTACCTTGAATCCACTGACTGAGCACAGATACTACCCCAAAATTAGATTATTTGTCACATACTGAGCTCCTCAAGTACTGCCTGACCTTGCCTAATTAAGGGCCCTAAAGAGTGGGAAGAATGTCCTAGTCAAGTAGAATTTGTCCTTTTCAATTTTTATAAAATATATTTTAATTATGAATTGTTCATTCAAAAGCAGTGAAAGATAAAACCTTCCAAATCCCCTCTTCATCTGAATTTACTATTAGTAGTACATGTCTTTCTAGGTTTTCTCTTCTGTATATAAGCATTATATATACCTTCTTTAAAAATTCTATCATCTTTTAGTCTCCACAACTTCTTAAAATGTAACCAAATGTTGGGACCAGTAGTTGGCATAATGGCTAGATCGCTGGACTCCCAATGTAGTCAATCGCGGTTCGAATCCCGGACCCTGTGGCTTCAACTCACGCAGGGCGCATGTATGTGTGTGCCCAAGATCCCAAGAGGAGAATGGAGGAGAAGGGATTGCAGTGTGGCTATCCCCCCTGGGGGTTCATGTCTCACTTTCTGTCTCTCTGTGTGTTTCTGGTGAGCGCACATACCCTATAGCAAAAACCTCTCCAAAAAAAAGAAATTAACCAAATGCTTTAAATGTCTTTACACATTAATATATACAATCAGCTTTGTTTTTTTTTTTTTTTTTTTTTTTTGAGAGGTTTTTGGTATAGGGCACGTGCGCTCACCAGGCAGAGAGAGACAGAGAGACAGAAAGCAAGAAATCACCCCCCAGGGGGGATGGCCACACTGCAATCCCTTCTCCTCCATTCTCCTCTCGGGATCTTGGGCATGCACGCACACACACCTGGCGTGAGTTTAAGCCACCAGGTCCGGGACGCGAACCCCAGTCGACTACATGGGAGTCCAGTGACATAGCCATTATGCTAACTGCTGGTCCCTACAGTCAGCTTTTTATTAGAAAGCATTCCACTGTATGAAAATGCCATAATATATTTAACCAATCCTCTAATTTTTTTTTAAAAATTTTGCTATTGAGGATGTGTACTCACCAGAGACAAAGAGAGAGAAAAGTAAAAAAGCACCCACTGGGATGAGGCTGGGAGGGGAATGGGCAGACTGCAGTCCCTTCATCCTTCTTCCCTCAGGATTTTGGGCACACACACATATACTCTCAGCATGTTTCTCAAGCTGTCAGTTCCAAGATTCAGTCTGCACAGTTGGCTGTGTATCTCCTTCACCTCCATGCCATCTGCTAGCCCCTCATTCCTCTATTAACAAACATTTTGCACCTGATTTTTCATTAAGAATGGTACAGGGTGGCTCCATGCTTAGTGGTTAAGGGAGCCAGATTCCACATGGCTGATCATGATTTGAATCCAGCCCTGACAGCTCAAAAGACAGGCTGCACATGTGTGCCTTCATGCTCCAAATCTTGACACGCTAGGGAAATAGAGAAGAGGAGGTTACACCCTATTAGGGGATTCTGTCTTCCTCTGTCTTTCCTCTGGTAAGCACACATGCCCTTTTACTATTAAAAAAAAAACAACAGTATAGCCATGTATGTGTGTGTGTTTGATTAAATACATACATACACTCACCTCTGTGCCCTTGTGCTAATATTTCTATATAATATCAATTAACTACTATGCACATTTAAAATTTGTAGTCATGAATATAAGCACATTTACAAATTTTTGATATTGGACTCGTCCTGCAGTCTAGTTGTTAAGGTAGTCAGATTGCACATGGCTCACCATGCAGTTCTAATTCCAGTTCTGGTGGCTTGAAAAACGTACCTGGCATGTGTGCATGTGGTCCCAAAATCCTGATAGGATGGAGAAATGCAGAAGGGACTGCAGAATGACCACACCTCATTGGTAGGTGCTTTCTCTCTGCCACCCCAACACCTTTCTCTCTGTCTCTCTCCCTGGTCAGCACACACACCCTATGGCAATTTAAAAAGCAATTCAATATTAACAAATTGCTGTCCAAAATAAAGTTGCTGATACCATCAGTGGTTTTCTGAGCAGTCACCACTGACTCTGGGGTAGCAGCAGGGGTGAAGATGGAGCGCCATCCCTCAGCTGATGCATATCCTCTTCTTTTCAACTTGAGTGGCTTAGTTTTTATCTCTGAAACATTGGGCTTCTGCTAAAGATACATTTGAAGAGAGGATTCTAAGGTAAAAACAAGTTTTGAAAAACACTACTCTAACAAAATTTCTTTAACTGAAAACCTTCATTGAAATGCTCAGAAAAAATCCAAAACAGCCTAGTTTGGAGTTTTCATTTCCATTTTCAAAATTGATCTTGAAACAAAGAGGTTAGAAGGGGCTTCAGATTCCTCAGCTTCCTCCATAGTTTTTGCCTGAAAAACCAGTATCTTAAGGTAAAAACAAAAAACTTTTTAGCCCTCAGTTTGAGGATGATCATGGTCTCTCAGAAAGCATTTATTCAGTACTCATAAGGTAGAATCTGATAGACTTAATGTCAGTGGGGAGGGGGGGAGAGCAAGTTAGTCAAAAAGACTTACTAAGTCAACCTTCCTTTCCTTTTTGTGCTGAGAATTTATAACCAACAGTTTTGAGGAATTTTCTTTCCCCTTCCTTATCCTTCTTCAGATATGGGTTACTTTGCTATTACTGGTAAGCCTTTTAGGAAGCCTGAATCCTGCACTTTAACAGATGAGAATTTAATGTCAGGAGTGGATCTATTGGGTCCTTAAATACCTGAGATATTGCCAGTAAGACAGTATCTCAGACGAATGAGATTCACATACTGAATTCATAAATGAACTCAGAGAAGAAAAAAGTAGAGGTGGAGAGAGATAGTACCCCTAACAGGATCTTGATACTGCAATCCACTGGCCTTCAGCCAGTCCCAGACCATGGGCAAGCATGTGCCTTCATATTCACAGAAGTTTCCAGACTTGAACTAGGAGCCTTCCTATGTGGGAAGAGTGTCATGTTTTACCACTGCACCACCATCTGGACCCTGTGTTTTATTCTTAGTTTAATCTAGGGAATAAAAAACAAAGAGTAAGAGGGACCAGCAGTTAGCATAATGGCTATGTCGCTGGACTCCCACGTAGTCAACCACAGTTCACGTCCCAGACCCGGTGGCTTAAAACTCACGCAGGGCGTGTGTGCGTGCATGCCCAAGATCCTGAGAGGAGAATGGAGGAGAAGGGATTGCGGTGTGGCCATCCCCCTGGGGGGTGATTTCTCACTGTCTCTCTGTCTCTCTCTGGCTGTCTGGCGAGCGCACACGCCCTATAGCAAAAACCTCTCCAAAAAAAGAAAAAAGTAGAAAACTGGTTTGATTTCCTTTGTATTTTGCTCATTTTAATTGAAGATAATGTTATTCTGCTTCTCTGCAAAATAGTCACAAATGCATGACCTGTAATATAGTTTCTTTTTTCCACAGTCTCAGTGTTTACTTGCCTGGCAATAGCATTGGGATTTTACAGAATCTGGAAGAAGCAGTGAAAGTATTCTGTAATGCTCCAGTTGTTGCTGCTGCTGCTGCTGCTGCTGACTCAAGAGCACTGTACTATGATAGATTTACTTTGAACCTTGACAGATACAGCATAAACTTACTATAACAGTTTATTCAAAGTATATATGCACTAAAGAGAAGTGTTTTCAAATGGAAAAAATTATTTTGTCTTTATTTTGTATATATGTCTTGAGTATGTTGAAAACCAGCCATTAAAAACCTGATTCATTTGAGATAAAAGGGATTTTGTCCTTATCCTTTTGATAGTTCTCAGAAACTGAACCAGTTTTCTAATGTTTGCTCAAACAACTGTAAATCATAATAGGATTTGTGGGTATCTGCTCCAGGTTTGGAAACTATTCCCTAGTTAAGATACTTCTTATTGGAGTCAACTTTCCTAATAACTACACACAATTACATACTTACATAACAAAGTTGTTTTTAAAAAAAAATTTTAAGGGATTTTTGCGAGGCCAGCAGATGGGGTGGTTGTTAAGGGCACTGGACCCCCACATGGCCAACTACAGTCAAGTTCTGGACCTGGCGGCTTGCTTTCTTGCTTTCTCTCTCTCTCTTTTTCTCTATCTCTCATTCTGTCCCTCTCCGGTCAAATTAAAAATTAAAAATATGCAAATTTATTAAGTGAAAAAAGTTAAATAAAATAATTATTTTAAAAACAGAGAGAATTTTGGTATAGTATAAATATGCTTGCCGAAGAGACAGAAAGTGAGAAATCACCTCCCAGAGGGATGGCCACGCTGAAATCCCTTCTCCTCTGTTCTCCTCTCAGGATCTTAGCCACTCACAAACACATGCCCCGCATGAGTTTTAAGCCTCCAGGTCCAAGATTGGAACTATGGTAAACAATGTGAGAGTCACATAACCATTACACCATCTGCTGGTCCCCAAAGTTGTTTAGATTTTAAAAGTGACTTATTTTATAGTTGGAGATTGATTTTTTTTTTTAATGAACTAAAACAATAAATTTAAAAGTAACATACTCTAATGCAAGTATGTAACAGAATGAAGTCTGTAATTACTCAGTATTGAATCTTTATTACCTATATTTTTAATTTTTTGATACAAAAAACTAGTTTAGCCTTGCTTCTTAATATAATCTAGTTTAAATTAACCCATCTTAAAGTAGCCACATAGGCCAGCCCTATGGCCTAGTGGTTAAGGGAGGTATATCCCACATGGCTGACCACCATTCAAATCCTAGTCCCAGTGGCTTGAAAAACATGTCAGATTCATGTACATGTGTGCCTAAGAAGACGGAGACATAGATAAGAAGGGACTACAGTGTGACTATGCCCATTGCGGTGTGCTTTCTCCCCCTCTATCTCTTGATGACTACACATACCTTCTGGCAATTAAAAAAAAAAAAGGTAAAAATACTACTCTTGGCTGGCCTGTTGCATAGTGGTTAAGAGAGTTGAAACACACAGGGCCCACCATGTGGTTCAAGTCCAAGCCCCAGCAGCTTGAGAAGCATGCTGGCACATGTGTGTGTGCCCAAACTGTTGGAGAGGTGAAGGAATGGAAGGGAGGGGATTGTATTGTGACCAGTCGTGCCCCACTTGGACAGTGCTTTCTCCTCCCTCTCTGATGAGCAAATGTGCTCTCTGACACACACACACACACACACACACAAAGACAAATCATATTCCCTAAAGAAGGTATCAGTTTTATCAATAAATAAAGGTTTTACTTAGCCCTCGGTATCAATTTATTCATTCTTCATCTCGATTATGCTTATAACCCAGACAGAAAAGAGAAGTGCCATTCATTAGACCTGCTCAAATCCCAACAGATGAACAGTGCACGTTCCCAGTTTACAGCATTTAAGACAAAATAGATCTTGTGTTCAGTTTCATGGCAGTGATTTAGCAAGTGAAGTGCTTTACATCCAATAATAGAAGAATAGAAGTATAAAACACTTCATATTGTATCCCTATTCTCGAGCCTATCTTTTCCACTGAGACTTCATTTTGATGCTAGTTTTGGTGTTCGGATAGATTTTTGCTTAGGAGATAGAAATATATGAAATGAAGTATGAGAAGATTGCCTTCCCATATGCCACAAAAACACCTCTATTCCAGCACTGTTCCAGCTTAATGGCTTATATAAGACAGAGGTCTACTATGTCAGCTCCATAGTGTCAGGGCCCTGGTCCTCCTTATCTTACTGTTCTCCCATCCCTGGTGTTGTCCTCATGCACAGGGTCCAGTGACTCACCCTTACATGCACACTCCAGAAGAAAAAAGGGGGCAAGAGATGGGCAAGCCCTTTGCATTTATAGGAATGATCCTAAGGTTTTACACATTATTTCTGCCCACATCCTATTGGTCACAACTTACTATCTTAGCTGCCAGGAAAAGTGGAAGTTAGTACTTATCCTGAGCAGCCAAAGGCCCAGGTAAGTCATATTACTGTGGATGAAAGGAAGAACTGATTCTGGAGGACAACCAGGGAACCTCTACCCCAAGGGTGTATGTTTCTGTTATAACTTCTGATACATCCTATCGCACAGGTACATAGATTAGAGACATGACCCTGAGAAAACTGAAGCAAGTAAACAAACTTTCCAGGGGTAAGATTAACTTGAGGGTCATCAGGTTAGAGGGAAAAAGGTGGGACTATGTGGAGTCCCAGGTGAGGAGAAAGTTGGATTTGGAATTCCATCAGTGGTTAAGAGAATGCAAACTTTTGTTAGCACAATTAGAATTCCAGCTCAGCACTGATGTGTGATCCTAAGCACAACTACATAAATCTCCACCTGTAAAATATACCTACCTCATGTGGCTATTGTAAGAATTAGGAGACAGGACCAGGAGGTAGTATGGTAGTTAGGCCCTTAGATACTCCCATATGGCTGACCATGGTTCGAGTCCCAGACCTGGTGGCTTGCTTTCTCACTTTCCCTCTCTCTCGTCAAATTAAAATAAATGAATAAATAAATGAAATTAAATAATTATTTTTTTAAAAAAAGAATTAGGAGACAGCTGGGATGAGCAGAAAAATGGTTACGTCACTGGACTCCCACATAATTAACTGCAGTTGAGTCCCAGACCCCGCAGCTTCAAACTCACATTGGGTGCGTGTGCGTGCGCGTGCATGCCCAAAATCCCAGGATGAGAATGGAGGAGAAGGGGTTGCACCATGGCCATCCCCCTTGGAGGGTGATTTCTCGCCTTCTGTCTCTCTGTCTCTCTCTGGTGAGTGAAAATGCCCTACTGCAAAAATTTCTCATAAAAAAAAGGGGGGGGGGACCAGCAGTTAGCGTAATGGCTATGTCACTGGACTCCCACATAGTCGAACGCGGTTCGCATCCCGGACCCAGTGGCTTAAAACACGCTGGGCGCGTGTGCGTGCGTGCCCAAGATCCTGAGAGGAGAATGGAGGAGAAGGGATTGTGGCATGACCATCCCCCCTGGGGGGTGATTTCTCACTTTCTGTCTCTGTGTCTGTCTGGCGAGCACACGCGCCCTATAACAAAAACCTCTCCAAAAAAAAAAAAAAACTAGGAGACAGCAAAGGACTTGGCACAGATCTTACAAACTGAGGGCTCAAATGTTGACAACTATTACTGTAGGTTGAAAGCCTATCAGAAACCACAGGGAAACTAACAAAACTGAGATAAGGGTTATCAAAATGATTGCCATTTTAAAAACTTGCTTTCAAACCCTTAACCAGCTTGAACTGGTCTCAGCAATCAAATGCACTCTTGTCAGAGTAAGTGAGTCCTGGGACCTGCCGGTGGTGTGGTGGATAAGGGCACTAGACTCCCACATGGCTGACCTTGATTTGAGTCCCGGACCCTGGCAGCTTGCTTTCTCACTTTCTCTCTCTCTCTTTCTCTTTGCCCCCCTCTGGTCAAATTAAAATAAATAAGTAAATAAAGTTAAATAAAATAATTCTTAAAAAAAAAAAAAGAGTAAACGAGTCTTGATGATGCTGGGATGGCCTTTAGTGTCCATTTTGTAAAGTATGTGAAATGTCCAGAGGGAGGCAGGCAGGTGTGTTTTCAGAAGACTATGTGTTGGGAAGGCTGCTGCCAGTGAAGCACAGAGCTAGCAATCAGAGCATCAGAGGGAGACAGGATCTAGGCAACTGCCCCAAGACAGTCACAATCTTTGCTAGCTCATGGAGGGAGGAAAGGGGAAGAGGGAGAGGAAAATGAGAGAATTTAAGTCAAAACTGAACTGGAATGCCATAGTTGTTTTTTGGTCAGCAAAGTACAGGAGGGGAAAAAAGGAAGAAAAAATAATAAAACCACATGTTTCTTACCCAGTCCAATCTGCCTCTTCTCTATATTCCTTCTCAAGTTTGCAAAACAGAAGAACAAAGATCAAATTCTCAAGCGGATTATTTAAATGGGTATTCTTATTAAGCATACATTGTGTTTCTCCTTTCACAAGAGCCAATTTTCATTTTATGTAAACTTTTCCCTGGTGAGATATTTGCTGTTTATTCTAAAGTTGTTCTTTTCTAAAACTTAGAATTGCATTTTCTCATGGTCTAGATACTTTTTAAAAGTTATTTTTTAAAAAATTACTATTAGTAAATGGTAATCTCTAGAAAATGAAATAAATATGATTACTATATTATAGTCAATAGTTTTTTTAGCAATGTTTAATATCTAGAACTAGACTTCCTTGATTATTAAACTGTACCATCTTTTATTTTAAAGCTGATGTGCATACTTGCAAATTAATTACTCAACAATCTAGAGTCCTGATTTGCATATGCAGATACATAACAAGTACATTGAGGGCCAGCCCCATAGCACAACTGTTAGGTGCTGCACAGTGGAAGCAAGAGCCCAAACAGTCAACCTAGGTTCAAGTCCCATCCCTGCTGACATGAAAAACACTTGGCACACATGTAGTCCCAGGATCCTGACAGGATGGAAAACTGAAGGAAAAATAATTGTGGCATGACCAAGCCCTACTGGAAGGTGCCCCCACCCCACATCTCACGTTATCTTTCCCTCTCTCTCTT